GTCCACAGGGAGTCACACAGGGTGATGGTGGTGGGTGGGGCTGGGTTTTTCCTCAAGTCTACAATCATCTCAACTGTCTTTAGAGTGTTGAGCTCCAAATTGTTCTGCATGCACCAGGTCACCAGGTCAAACTCCTAACTTTAGGCAGACTCATCCCCACCAGAGATGAGTTCAATGAGGATGATGTTATCCACAAACATCAGGAGCTTGAGACTGATAACTGGAGGTGCAGCTGTTGGTGTACAGGGAGAAGAGCAGAGGGGCAAGGAAACAGTCATGGGACTTCACTTGCTGCCTCCTGTCAGACAGGAAGTCAGTGATCAACCTGCAGGTGGAGTCAGGTATGCTCAGCTAACCCTGCAGCAGAGCCGGGATGATGGTATTCAATGCAGAATCCCTAAGGAGTACAGCTGCTGGAGAAGTAAGTGGACAAACAGACAAAGGCAAAATGGACAATACAAAATGGTTGCTGTGACCTCATGACCTTGAAAGGGAAGACTACCACAGGATGGCGGTTAACAAAGAAAATACTCAAAACAGCCACTGAGACCACATGGTACATGAGGGAGGAAAGGTGTGAGTTTCTTTGTTAGCCTAGTTCATGGAGTCTAAAGGAGCCAGATTAGAAGGAGAAGGTTAGCCCCTACAACTGAGATATGCTACAGGTATGTGTGTTAACATACAAGTATCAAATTAACTGTGTGACTAACCACAATCTTGTAAACATTAGAACAACAAGCTAAGTGAATACATTAAGCAACATGTACATGTACATTAACAAAGGTAAAGAGTTCTATTGTTTAGCTGTGGTGTGCTGTGCTGTGCTGGGTGAGGTTAAGCCCAGTCAGTTAATGTTACCCAGTCCTTGTAACAAAAGGAAGAGGTCCTTTCCAGTGTTATGTAAAGTCCAGTGGGTTTGTGTTTCTTCCTGATGGAGTGAAGTCCGGTCTGGCCGTGTGGCTTCTGTGTTGCAGAAGAGGCCACTGGTTTCTTCTTTGTTCTTCTCACAGAGTTAGCTGTTGCTTGCTAACTCTGCTGTTGAGGATTAGAGTGTTGCAGCCTGGAGTGGCCAGGAGAGCTGAGCAGCTGAGAGGAATGAGCTGTTGTCTCAGGTAGCAGGGCTGATCTGGGCTGGGAGCCTTGTTGCTCCTAGAAGAGGTCCCGAGAGGAGAGGAGCTGCTGCTCCTGAGCAAGCCAAGGAGAGAAGAGAAGAGAGAGAGAGAACAAAGAAGGGGATGTGGTTTTGTTTGGTGACACCCTGGGGGTCACATCTCAGACACTAACCAACACTCACTGGTCCATAAGGTCCCTGGGTGAGGGTTGTCCCTGGGTGAGGGTCATCCCCTAGTGTGAACAGTAAAGAATTGTGGGGAAGTGAATTCTGTTGTCTGTGGTGGAACAAAAGAACACGTGGTTTCCACTATCTAGAATGTAGTGAGTCCCTACAGAATCATGTTTCTGTGTAAGTGCGGATCTTGCAACACTCATAACAACCACGGGTGTAATGCACCTGCACATATGCATTCTTTAGGAGAATTAAAGTATCATATTTTCAGTATAAACAAGTTATACATCTTATTTCTTGTGTTCATTCAGGACATGTTGCAGCAGTTTGCCGACATAAACTCAAAACTCACTTGAAGAAGAAGTTCCAGTGTGTGTTTGAGGGGATCGCTAAAGCAGGAAACCCAACCCTTCTGAATCAGATCTACACAGAGCTCTACATCACAGAGGGAGGGACTGGAGAGGTCAATGGTGAACATGAGGTCAGAGAGATTGAAACAGCATCCAGGAAACCTGTCAGACCAGAAACAACCATCAGACGAGAAGACATCTTTAAAGTCTTACCTGGGAGAGATGGACCAATCAGAACAGTGATGACAAAGGGAGTGGCTGGCATTGGGAAAACAGTCTTAACACAGAAGTTCACTCTGGACTGGGCTGAAGACAAAGCCAACCAGGACATACAGTTCACATTTCCATTCACCTTCAGAGAGCTGAATGTGTTGAAAGAGAAAAAGTTCAGCTTAGTGGAACTTGTTCATCACTTCTTTACTGAAACCAAAGAAGCAGGAATCTGCAGGTTTGAACAGTATCAGGTTGTGTTCATCTTTGACGGTCTGGATGAGTGTAGACTTCCTCTGGACTTCCACAACACTGAGATCCTGACTGATGTTACAGAGTCCACCTCAGTGGACGTGCTGCTGACAAACCTCATCCGGGGGAAGCTGCTTCCCTCTGCTCGCCTCTGGATAACCACACGACCTGCAGCAGCCAATCAGATCCCTCCTGAGTGTGTTGACATGGTGACAGAGGTCAGAGGGTTCACTGACCCACAGAAGGAGGAGTACTTCAGGAAGAGGTTCAGAGATGAGGATCAGGCCAGCAGGATCATCTCCCACATCAAGACATCACGAAGCCTCCACATCATGTGCCACATCCCAGTCTTCTGCTGGATCACTGCTACAGTTCTGGAGAAGGTGTTGAAAACCAAAAGGAGAGGAGAGCTGCCCAAGACCCTGACTGAGATGTACATCCACTTCCTGGTGGTTCAGTCCAAACTGAAGAACATCAAGTATGATGGAGGAGCTGAGACGGATCCACACTGGAGACCAGAGACCAGGAAGATGATTGAGGCTCTGGGAAAACTGGCTTTTGAGCAGCTGCAGAAAGGAAATCTGATCTTTTATGAATCAGACCTGACAGAGTGTGGCATCAATATCAGAGCAGCCTCAGTGTACTCAGGAGTGTTCACACAAATCTTTCAAGAGGAGAGAGGCCTGTACCAGGATAAGGTGTTCTGCTTCATCCATCTGAGTGTTCAGGAGTTTCTGGCTGCTCTTCATGTCCATCTGACCTTCATCAACTCTGGAGTCACTCTGCTGTCAGAAAAGAAATTGACCTCTCTGTGGTCTAAACTGTTTGGAGACAAAACTGAACCAACTCACCTCTACCAGAGTGCTGTGGACGAGGCCTTACAGAGTCCAAATGGACAACTGGACTTGTTCCTTCGCTTCCTACTGGGTCTTTCACTGCAGACCAATCAGACTCTCCTACGAGGCCTGCTGATGGAGAGGGGAAGTGACTTAGAGACCACTCAGGAAGTAGTCCAGTACATCAAAAAGAAGATTGAAGAGACTCCCTCTGTAGAGAAAAGCATCAACTTGTTCCACTGTCTGAATGAACTGAATGATCGTTCTCTAGTGGAGGAGATCCAACAGTCCCTGAGATCAGGAAGTCTCTCCACAAATGAATTGTCTCCTGGTCAATGGTCAGCTCTGGTCTTCATCTTACTGTCATCAGAAAAAGATCTGGACATGTTTGACCTAAAGAAATACTCTGCTTCAGAGGAGGCTCTTTTGAGGCTGCTGCCAGTGGTCAAAGCCTCCAAAAAAGCTCTGTAAGTGTATAGATATTTGGATTTAGTCATCATCATATAAAGACATGCCTATCTCTTCAACAGTAGAGAAAATACACTTCTTTCTTGTTTCATTCCTTATTATCATCTCTTCAGACTGAGTGGCTGTAACCTCTCAGAGAGAAGCTGTGGAGTTCTGGTTTCAGTTCTCAATTCCCAGTCCTCTAGTCTGAGAGAGCTGGACCTGAGTAACAACAACCTGCAGGACACAGGAGTGAAGGTGCTGTCTACTGGACTGGAGAGTCCACACTGCACACTAGAAAGTCTCAGGTTTGTTCAAGTTCTTTTTCTATGATATCAGAATTCAACAGTAAGTATTTCAGCCAGGCCTAAGACAAGAATACATATCACCAAAGCTAGTAACTCCTCACTGGTTACCATTTAGATATAGAGGTGATTTTGGTCCAATGGACTAAGTCTTTTTTACTTTTGTCCAAGGGTTAAAATACAGGTCTGTTATTTCTCTGTGAACTGGGACCTTTGTATTCCTGGAATGGTCCATGGTCCAGTATCACCAGTGATTACAATTTAACATAAAACATATTTGTCCTCTTGTTCATTATTTCCTCTCCAGACTGAGTGGCTGTAATATCTCAGAGACAAGCTGTGAAGCTCTGTCCTCAGTTCTCAGCTCCCAGTCCTCTCGTCTGAGAGAACTGGACCTGAGTAACAATGACCTGCAGGACACAGGAGTGAAGGTGCTGTCTACTGGACTGGAGAGTCCACACTGCACACTGGAAAGTCTCAGGTCAGATCAAGTTCTTTTTCTATGATATCAGAAGTTCAACAAAAATGAACTTATTAATAAACAAATGCTCGTCCATGTTTTGATACACTGTAATTAAGATAATTGCAGGCACACTGGAAACTCTCAGGTCAGGATCATTAACCTTTTTAACTAATTAACAGTCCCATAGACTTAATGATACCTGTTCAATTTAAGATTAGTGGATAAACAGCAAACCTATGTAGGATTGTGTAAAGTACATTTTAACAAACTACTCAAACTAGCAGTACTTTCTAGGATTATGAGCTGTAAACGTTTTTCTCTGTCACAGCTGATGGCAGATCTCTATAGAAGTTCTTTGCATTCAACAACAAAAGAGCAGTTTTCACTTAATAATGACTTCAGTGTCTCATTATGACTCACTGCGTCATATTTAGGAAGAGAGATCTCATGGTCATGAAATCAGGCGTTGTCAGCTGTATTCTGTGACCTGAGCAGGAACTTAAGCTTTATTGCCTCTATAAATGTTTTTTTCTATCAGACTATTTTTTTGAGAGAGACTTTATATTTTGAGAGGCAGGCTAGCAGTACTTAGAAGGGCTGAATATCTTAGGAAAAAGAGAAAGAAGAAAGAATATGTAAGGACAGCGTTTTACAGGGACCCCTTCAAGTTTGTTAAAGGATTGTTTAACCAGGAAAAGGGAGGGCAGCTTAAAGCAACAAAGTTAGAAGTGCAAAAGTATTTAAGAAACACGTATTCAGACTTGAAGCAGAATAAAGTAGTAGGCCTCCCACCTGATATGCCACCATTAGGACAGATAGTTCATGAGATGGATGTTAGACCACCCAGGTGGAAGGAGGTTGAGGAGGTAGTCAGGCGTGCAAAGGCTTCTTCGGCCCCAGGGCCAAATGGAGTCCCCTACCGGGTTTATAAAAGCGCACCTGATATCCTAAAGTTTTTGTGGAGGCAATTAAGAATAGTTTGGGAGAAACAGGTTATTCCTAGAGCATGGCGTAGGGCAGGAGGTGTTTTTATTCCTAAGGAGAAGGAATCCTCAGACCTGAGTCAGTTTCGCATGATCTCGCTACTTAATGTGGAGGGGAAGATCTTCTTTAGCATAGTCGCACGGAGATTAGCTAGTTATTTAGAAAGGAATAGCCTAATAGATACTGCAGTACAGAAGGCAGGAATACCAGGTTTCGCAGGGTGTATAGAGCACACTAGCATGATTTGGCATCAGATTCAGGCAGCCAAGACAGAGAAAAGAGACTTGCATGTCATATTTTTGGATCTAGCAAATGCGTTTGGTTCAGTGCCACATAGCCTTATTTGGGAGGCGTTTGATTATTTTAGAGTGCCTGGAGTAGTGGTTAATTTAGTAAGGTCGTATTTCCAAGACATTAAACTATGCGTAAGTACAGCAGGCTTTACGACAGGGTGGCAGAGGCTAGAAATAGGCATTATGGCAGGGTGCACGATTTCTCCATTGGCATTCACAATGGCGATGGAGGTAATCATTAGGGCTTCTAAGTGGGTTGTAGGTGGAGAGAGGCGGCAGGATGGGATGCGCCTTACACCAATTAGGGCCTACATGGATGACATGACGTTGATAACTACAACGGTGCCATGTATGAAAAGAGTACTTGAGAGACTTAATAAAAACTTAAAGTGGGCTAGTATGAAAATTAAGCCTAGTAAGTCTAGAAGTATCTCATTAAGTAGAGGGAAGCTAAGTGATAGGAAGTTTGTAATAGACGAAGAGGAAATTCCAATAATTAGGGAAAAATCAGTAAAGAGTCTAGGTAGGTGGTACAAGGCAGACTTGAAGGACGGAGAACAGGTAGTGCAGTTTCGGAAAGATGTTGCCGAGGGACTGGATAGAATAGATAAATCAGGGCTTCCAGGAAAATTGAAGTTGTGGTGTTTGCAGTTCGGATTATTTCCCAGACTGATGTGGCCAATGTCTGTTTATGAGATTCCATTATCTGCTGCAGAAAAAATGGAAAGATTAGTTAGCTTTTACATTAGGAAGTGGCTAGGTGTTCCTAGATGCTTAAGTACGGTGGCACTGTATGGGAAAGGCATACTTCAGCTCCCAGTCACTAGTCTGGTGGAGGAGTTTAAATGTACTAAGGTTAGGACAGAGCTCCTGTTATCTGGGAGTAAAGATGTGGTAGTCAGTAAGGTGGTTCCAAACCCAATCAAGGGGAGAAAGTGGAATCCAAGAATGGCAGTGCAGGAGGCAGAAGCAACGCTCAGGCATACAGAGATTGTGGGTAATGTCCAAATAGGCCGGGGAGGCTTGGGGCTTGGCCCAGGCAAACCGGTGTGGAGTAGAGCAGGTCCCAAGGAAAAGAGAAAGCTAGTGGTGGAACAGGTTCGTAGACAGGAGGAGATATTAAGGGGTGCAAAGGCAGTGGCTCAGGCTAAGCAGGGACAGTGGTTAAATTGGGAAGGTGTAGATAAGAAAAAGCTTAGCTGGAAAGAGCTGTGGAGTATGGAGGAAAGTAGCATTAGATTCTTGATAGGGGCAACATATGATGTATTGCCAACTCCCCAGAACCTAAAACTCTGGGTAAATGGAGACCCGCTATGTGCATTGTGTTCAGGTACGGCAACTCTAAAGCACATTTTGTCAGGCTGTAAGGTTAGTCTGTCGCAAGGCCGGTACACGTGGCGACATAACCAGGTTTTAAAAAGCTTAGCTGCAGGAATAGAAGACCTACGGAGGCAGGCAAATTTAGGAGGGTCTAAAACAAAGAGAGTTGCAATAAAGTTTGTTCAAGAGGGAGAGAAAGTTGGTAAGACAGCAAGGAGGCAAGGCAGCTTAGAGGATGCTTGTGATTGGGAAATGCAGGTAGATTTAGGAGGAAAGCTTGTTGTTCCCCAGGAAATAGCCAGTACAAAGTTAAGGCCTGACATAGTCTTGTGGTCTAGGAGTAGAATGAAAGTATATTTCATAGAGTTGACTGTTCCATGGGAGGCTTCAGTTGAAGAAGCATATGAAAGGAAAAAGCTCAGGTATGCAGAGTTAGGGGCAGAAGCAGAGCAGCGAGGATGGAAAGTTAGGATTTGTCCAGTAGAAGTAGGATGTAGAGGATTTGTAGCAAGGTCTGTTGTCTCTTTGGTAAGGGAGCTAGGAGCAAGTGGACAGAGTGTGAGGAAAATAGTAAAAGACATGTCAGATGAGGCAGCAAGATCCAGTCAGTGGATTTGGATTAGAAGAAGTAATGGTAGCTGGGGGCCCAGCAGGGGGAGCACTTAGGATAGACAGGCTCTTAGGAGAAGCAAGGAAGAAAATCCAGGAAGAGGAAGTGTTTTTAAGTGGAGGGTGTGGCCTGTGTGAGCCTCTTTGAGACCATGCGGTTAGTTCAGGTGAGTTGGTTTGTTTGTATTGCTCTGAATTGGTTTGTAGTGTGTCTCTGACTCTCTAGGTGAGTTTGTTTGTCTTAGGTGAGTTGTTGGAGAGGTGGGGGAGTAGGGGGAGGTAGAGCACAGCCTAAACCCGGTCGGGGGAAGAGCTAGCCCAAACAGGCACCTCTCCCTGACTCTACCTCCCTCATTCAAAATGGCCGCCATTTTCTCCAACTGGTTAGGGGAGTTTGTTTGCTGAATCTGCTGGTGTGTTTTGTCCTAGTTGATAATGTTGTGTGTGGTAGCATAGGCAAGGTAAAGGAGAAAATAGTTGTGGTGTGAGGAGCAGTGATGGCTGGCATTAGGGGAGTGACTCTGGGACGCCAGTGATCACTGTCTAGCCTCCTGGAGGTGTCGTGGGACCAACTAGACGAAACACTGGTGAAAGGAGGTTCCCACCTGATGACCCCAAAGACATGTTAGTTATCACCGCTCATTAGTCTGTGTAGCTGAATTAATAGTTATCATAGGGCTTAGGGAGTTATTCACTGAGTCTGGTCCAGTTTTTACAGCACAAGCTCCTTGTGTTTATCCTAAATTCATGCTGTATCAGCACTGTGGTGGCAATCTCTGTTAAATAAAGCGTAAAGTCAACTCCTGTCTTTCTGTAAGTTTATGGCCCTACAACTTATTTGCTATTAGATTTGTTTCTGCAGCCAAAGAGGAAGAAAGTGTATCTCACACCAAAACTGACATGAAATGGAGAACACCGATGATGAAATATTTTCTCCACCTTACCTCCCTGCTCTGTATAATTACTAGATAAAGACTCCAGTTCATTTTTCTCTTTGTTGGATCTACATCCATACATACAAGCCTACATTTGAACAGAAATATAAAACCATCTGTGTATGAGAGCCATGTAATGTCCATGCTAGTATGCTGAAAGAGATGTGCTGGTCTGACCCCCCTCCTCCTTTCAGGGTTGAGCCTGGTGGAGTCCGATGGTTGAGACCAGGACTGAGGAAGTGTAAGTGTGTTTTTAAATTTATTCATGAAAACAAAGCCGCACATTCAACCATCTTTGCACTGTCACATCACTGATGTCATGAGTCATCATCAAACTGTAAATAAATGATCAGATGATAGATCAATAACTGCAGACGTGTCTTGTTCTCTCCATCAGATTCCTGTGAACTCACAC